CTTGGTCGGCGGCTCCCTGTCATATTGCGGCTTTCGACATCCTGTCTGAATGATTGAAAAAAAGTGATACAATTTAGCTATATTTGTCTGCTCATTGCAGAGACGGACACATTCTTTGTCCATAAAAATCGAATCACGGCTCACACTTCCAAACGAGACCAATTTTCTAAGAGTCTTGCCGTTTCAATCATCCTGAACCATCTGGGAATTTCACTACCTACCCGCAAATTAGCTGTATGACAAGTAGTGTCATTTGTCTTCACTCTGGAGAAACAAAAATTTTCCACAATATGTAGCTTTCAAATGCTGAGGCTTGTAGCCTTTTTCCAATCAAGCGCAATACTTGTATGTTTGTATCAGGTATTTTCTGAAGATTTTTCCTTCTAGTAATAACATCATGCAGTTGCACCAACTGGGCAGAAATAACGCATTGGTTCTTTATGATGTTAATGGCAGTAATAATGATGATAAGGGAACAATAATGGCAATGAATAGCTCTTATGGCTTTGTGCATATTATCCATGGAATTGTTATTCTCCCATATAACATTCCCACAGTAGGCTGTAAATTTGTTTATTTGTCAAGCGTTTTTCTCTCATACTTCCACCATTTGATATATTCTTTTCATAAGTTTAAATTTAAGAATTAAACTAATTACTAATGAATTAATGAAAGTAATGAGTAAATTACTAATGAGTTAATGAAATTAATGAGTAAATTACTAATGAAGTTAATGAAATTAATGAGTAAATTACTAATGTTAATGAAATTAATGAGTAAATTACTAATGAATTAATGAAATTAATGAGTAAATTACTAATGAATTAATGAAATTAATGAGTAAATTACTAATGAATTAATGAAATTAATGCAGTTCTAAAAATATTTTCGAGCGATTTATTAATTTTACAATTAAAAAGCTAGTCACTTTTGAGATTTAAATTTTTAATAGTGTAGAGTGTAATGATTGTCAGATTTCAATGCGGTTTGCTTTAAAATATGTAAGGATCTCGTCTCCGCGTCTAGAGATGTGGGAGAAAGGGAATGAAGACTAGCCATGTTCAAAATCACTTTGTTTACTTGCAACACAATCAACAACACAAGTTCGATCAATCAAACCTAAGAGATGCACCCAATCTTCACAGTATGAAGATAATTAACGAGGTATGAGAAGACTTCAATTACCAGTATCACATACTTTAATTCAAGAACTACTGCCTTCCTAGCTATTTAATCTATATTCAATCTCCAATCTTTCTTTCTTTCTTTTTATAGGTAAGATATATAAAATAAATATATAATAATTTACAAAAAGGTGTGAATAATTACTTTTTTTAATATGTAGTTTTTATGAATTTAAAAATTATTTTATGTGGTTTATAAAGAAAATTGAAAGATGAACCTCTATATAACGAATTTCCATATAACGAAATTCTTTGGGGGATTTAGCGACTTCGTTATACAGAAGTCCGGCTGTAGTTAATAAATATTTGAATTTTCTACCTTTAACAACTGCATAAAAACTACATTTTTTCGATCGATACAATTTTTTATTTATAAGTTTTATTAAAAGGTACATAAAGAATTGTCCATCATGTTACGTCAACAAAAAAAAATTTATCTTTATCAAATGAGATTTTTCTAAGATTTTACTTTGTCCATCAGTCCTAGATACTCCATTTAGCCATTTCTATTTGTTCGAGATAATAAAGTTCTCCCAATAATAAAGCTCCTCCAGAGAAAAATGACGTCAATAAGAAGGAAATAGCGAAAATGGTCCAGTAAGTAGTTTCGGGAGAGTTGGAAACTCCATCTAACTCCGTATAAATGAGAATATAAGGATGAAAAAAAAAAAAAAAAACGAGAAAAAGAATTCTAATCATAAAAAGATGGCATTAAGAAAGAAGAAAAGAAAATGCATACTCTAATAGGAAGCATTTTAGTAAGAATATTATACATTTAATAACTGCATAAATACATACACCGAAATAAAATTTGATGTAGGAAATTGCTTCTGAGCATTTCTTGTGTTTTAAAAAGAATCGATATTTAGAAGAGAGTATATGATATACGCAATATTGCATGTTTAATGTATAAAATGCGTGAAAAATGTAAATTCTGAGTTTTTTGTTCGGGTATAATGCTTTGCAGTTTAAATTTTTCGGTAGTTAAAAAAAGTCACCGTAAAAATAGCTTGGAAGAATGTTTTTGACTTTGAATATATTTTTGTAAGTACAATCTAAAAAAATGTACAACAATTTGATACTTATACGAGGAAAAAATTTAATTTTTAAACTAAAACTTTCCAGAATAGTTTTAGTTGGCTCAAGTATAGTGAATATAAAAATAATAGTTAAGGAAAAATAATAGAATTAAAGAATTTTTCGGAATATTTATGAATACTGCTATTTTTGTCAAATGGTTTTGAAACGCATTTGCCTATTTAGAACATAAAATGCATAGTTGAAACTCAAAAGAGTTGGAATATTCTTTTAAATTGAGGTTTCGTTGTTTAACAAAGCTTTTTTTCTTAGCTTTTTCAGTGAAACAAATCGCAAAATCGTCAAGTGTGTGCGTGCGCGCACGCGCACGTTCGTATATACAAGTTTGTTGAATAGTTACAGCATTTAAATCGATATTAATTAAGCAAATATGTTTCCATTAATAATTAGTGAATACAATGTATGAGAATTGCTCCAAGTAATAAATGCATCGAAATACTGGGATTTTCTGAATTTCTGTTAAAATGCAAAAATATTAATACAACAACCAATGAAAACTTGTGGATTCGCTTCGGAAAATGTAAAAAGTCAAATTCTTCAGGAAACTCGCAAAAAGTTAGATTAAGAACTAAATTATTATTTTATTTATTAAACATAAATACTCACCTCTCAACTAGATAGAAATAAAAAAGTAAGGAAAGTGAAAATAGAATATTTTTAATCAAAAATATTAATATAAGGTGAAACTTACACAGCACTATTATACTACATTAATATCTAATCCAGACTCTGATTATCAGCATCTATAAATCAGAAGTGAAATCGTTCCTAAACGAGTCTTCAACTCAAAACCCATAACACTTATCCTAAAGTCTATTCCTTTATTTCATGCCATTTCCGCAATAAGCTGTTGGTGGTAAATTCACTTGTGATAGGGGTAGGCATTAAGTCGATCACAATCGACCGGTGGACATTTAAGACATTTTGGGGTACCGCCTTTCCTAAGACCTTATACTACACTATACTACGAGAATTATAAGACGCCAATACTACAAGAAACACAATTGTGGAACACAGATGCCAACTAGACTAGAGATTGGGTGGACTGCAACATCTTGAATGAGTTAGAAGTAGCTCGTAACCCTGGAAAAGTCTGGCCACCCCTGACCTATGACATCCTTGGCTGCTGCTTGGGCAGTTATTTAAACTCCCCACCTTCAGGTACCAAGTACACTCGTTAGACGAAAAGGAATCCCTGTGTTGGACAAGTCATTAACCCTCTATTTCTGTCCTTTGTTCTTTGCAACTTGCGAAGGAAGAAGTAGCTGCATACCCCCTTCCTAGAGAAGAAAGTCGTTTATGGTGTTGATGAGCTTTCTGAATGATACATAGAGGAGGTTGTTTTTCCTGCCATTGCTGCAATTAATATACATCCCAGCAGGTTTGAGTCTCGTTGGATTGTTTTTCCTTTGGCATTGTGAGCAAGGTCTCTTGAAATGAAGGATCTGGGTGAAATGTGGGCCAAAACCCCCTTTGAATTATTTGACGTGATTTATTCGAAATGCCTTAGCTGGACTCTCCGTGGAGCGCATAATCAACCAGTGGGGATACGTTGTCCAGCCTTTTAATGTATTTAGAGTCAGTGGCGTAAAGGAGAATATTACGACCCCCTGCAAAGTCAGGTCTTATGCCAAAGTCGGATCTTACAAAGACTACGTACTTGGCATCAATCAGACTTTGAGCCCCCTAAAGTTATGCTTTCCCCCACAATGTGGGGGTTGAGGGAATGTACGTAACGCCACTGTTTAGAGTTCACTTCGGTGGAAGCTGTTGGATGAGAGAGGATCCTCCTTAGTGACCTTGGAATGGTTAGGGAATGTGTTATTTGTTATGTTATTGTGTTACACCCTTCAACGGGTCCGAAGACCCCCTTTTTACACGCGTTAGTCAACTGGGGCGAAAAGGAATCTCTTTTCAGGACAGTTGTATGGCCCCGGTAGCCTAGTGGTCAAGATAACGGACTCGTGGCCGGCGTATCATGAGTTCGAGCCTAGTACCACTGAAGACCCATCGGGTAGGGAAGCGATGCACGTTAAATCTATCGAGAGCTCGAACGTTCTTCCGTTGGTGGAGTGTGGTACTCAGGAGAGGGGGTGCCAGCTCAATTGTTGCCCTCGTCACTTGACAATGGTTCAAAATTACGAGGTTAGTCGCCAAAAAGCCCTCGAGTAGCTGAACAGTGCGACGTTAATATTCACTCACTCACTTAGGACAGTCACTAAGTTCTTTTATTCCTAGTAATCTTTGTTGCTTGCAGGGAAAAAGTCTCTAATATGATATCCTTTTTTGGGGGTGGGGGGACTCTATAATGAGTAAGTTTGTACTGAAAAATTAGAAAATATAAAATTATTTTTAAATTGTTATCTACTTAAATAAACTTTATAAAATAAACGTATGCTCGGCGGAAAAAGTAAACTCCTACGAAATAAAATAATAAAACAAGTAATGTTAAAAAAATTAAGTCAATTCCTACTTAGGCCAACAAAGAAAATTTTTTTATTTTTATTACTTTTAATGAAATAGTTACAATTAAAATAAATATGTGCATACATGACAGAATCACATTATTAATTGAGAAAACAGATAGCGATTTTCCATTTTCCTTTCTATATAGGGTGTTGAAGTTTTTTTTTGTTGTTACTATTTATTTATTAACTCAATTTAATTATTCTAATAAAATAGTTTAGCAAAAAGAAAGAACATTGTCAGAAATTAGGCCATCCCAGATAAGATTCGAACCTACGACCTTTGGATTAAAAGTCCAACGTACTATCCATTATGCTACAGGGACACAACGAACGATTTTCCTTTATATATATGCTGTTGGACTAATATTTTTTGTTTGTTACTATTTGTTCATTTTTTAAATTTAATTAATGAATTAATATTTGAAAAAACTGTATTAAATTCAAGTGTCATCCACTACAAGTTTAAAAAAATGTATTCGAACTTGAATTGATGAATAGAAAGTATTTAATTAACGATTGAAAATTTGTATAAGATATATATATATATTGAGAAAGTGAACTAATAGTAGGAATTGTAAAAAGAAAAAAAACTGCACTAGAATTTAAGATTAAAAAAATTTAAAAGGCTTGATCGTGATTACTTTACATTCAAGCGAAATGCATACTTAACTATAACTGTTTCAATTTTAACTCTGGTAATTAGAATTCAAGCTCACAGCGTCTGAAACAACGATCTCCTAGTCTTCCAAGAAGAATGGTTTCATTATTCTGGAACGTGATTTCTAAAATCGAATTTGCGAAGTAAATTGCTTCGAGCGAAACGTTATTTCCTTCCATCACTTGAGCAGCGTTCCAATTGTCAGTTCGGATTCCAAATTAAAATTTGCGTCCTGATGATTTAGAGATTTAATTACCGGAAAACCGAGAACGTAATGCTTCTCCGATTGGTAGTAATATCTACGAATAGGGATGGAGAGAGCAAACCATGCATGCACTCAGATTCAGGCAGTCATTGCGATAAATCGATAACAGCAACTGGGAAAAGGCTTCACGGTTAATTTTGATAGCTCACGTGCTTGGGATCCTTGTAAAGGTACACGGCATCCTGGATCAGTTGAACTTCTTTCTGAATTCTCCCTTCAAAGGAGGGGTGGCCAACCCATGACGCATGTGCCACAGTGAGGTACGGCTGAGTTGTAAGAGTGGCACGCGAAGACTTGAAATTGAAAAGATAATCATAAATACTAATTTTTTTTACTGTTTTATTGCAAGGTGGTTGTCTCAGACAAAACAAAATATCAAAATTCATTTTAAAAATACACAATATTAAATTACAATAGAAAATTATAATACAGACGACACTCCTTTATTGTTGTGTGCGTTGGTTTTTCAAAGGAAGTGCATTCGTGAGACTGGAATTTGAGGGAGCGTGTTTTAAAATATTTGGAAGAAAACAATAAACTTCCCAGTGAGTGTTTGCTTCTCAAGAAAGAAGATAGGCTTTGAAATTTAGCTAATATAAGACATTTAAATAACTTAAATTTAAGAGTTCAAGAGTTACCAAAGACAATTGCATAGCTAGCACACAAAAACCAGTTAAATATTTCCCGCTTTTAAATATAAATTGGGTGACTTTATTCGATAATGTCTTAATTTTTTGTTTGTTTTTTAGAACAAATTTGATTTTAATTCTGATTATAAACTTTATATAGACACATATGTAACGTTAAATCCGGCGTATAACGCACACCTGTACTTTCAAGCTGCATTTTTTAGTTTTGGGGTATATTTGCCGGATAACGTGCTTCCCCTTTTTTACGAAGGAACTTGAAATGTATGTGTGCTGTGCTCGTATGTGTTGAAATAATTTATTCGAGGATTTTAAAAAAATAGTATACTTCTAGAACTACAACCTTTTAAGTTCATTAGGAATGCCATATAATGTAAATAACAGTATTCCGATCTATGTAAAAGTCTAATTTTTTTTACGTTCACCACTTTTTTTATTTTTGAAACTTTCATTTTTATTCCTGGTGTATAACGCGCACCCGTAAATTTTGATCATATTTTTTGTGTTAAAAGCGTGCGTTATACGTCGGATTTTACGGTATATATATTATGTAACTGGTAGCTTACTGTTTGTTTACACTTGCAGATTTTGTTTTAGATTCCTCTCTTTAAGTTTTCAATAAGTCTTTAAATCGTGCATGCTATTCTATTTCATTGTTTTAAAACATTTATAATAAATTAGGTCATTGTAATACATATTACGCTTTACGTTATTCATTTTATGTCCCTTGATAGATAAGAAATTTATTTTCTCTGTTGTTCCTATAGATTCTAATATTTCACTTCAAACTAGCTGTTACCTCGAAGCATAATGTACTTGAACAAATCAGACATTTCCTTCAAATTTTTAAAATTCCTTTACATATGATGTTTTTTTCATTTTAAATCGGTGTTCGTGAAGTTTTCAAACAATAATTCTAGTCAATAGTCATTGTTCTGCTCAAGGGTGACCTTAGTTCAACTAAAACCAAAGTAGTAAAAATGTTGTAAAGAGTATTACTAGAGATTTTGAAAGATGATTAGGTTGCTTTCACAAGGCATTGTGAAGGGTACTTTAACGATTTATCTTAGTCGTCCATCAGAATCAATTTGTAAAAGGAATTTTATTTGTATATTGTATTATAGGGTACAAAAATCTTATACATTGTTTCATGGTTGATTTAAAGATGTTTAACTTTTTAAGAAATCCCATTGAAGGATGTAAAATACAAAAACAAGGAGGCTAGGCTAGTTTTACGGTAGGCAGTTAATATTTTCTGGGTTGTAATAAAAGCAGGTTTAACTTTTATCTCTATATTTCTTTTGAATGGAATAATTTGTGATTTATTTACTACTATCCATTATCCATTCGTTTCACTGGGTATTTCTTGATAATGTATGACTATATATTTTCTTTGTATAACATAATGATATTTTAGTTTTCACATTAATCTTACAATTGTAATCAAAAAAAAATCTTTTCTAACCTTAACCCTTTATGTACCGCATTATGATTTACTGCAATTTTTTCATGGAATAAATTTTTTTGGATCACTACATTGAAAAATAAGGGATATACATAAACAAAATACTCCACTTTAGAAAATTTAATCCGTTAGAGCTAATTAATTAATTAAAGATATTCAACTGTAAAATTAGTTATCTACACTGCTCACTTAAAATAGTCAAATCGTTTTCTAAGGTCTTCATTAACATACGAAAAAAATAAGACACTTAAATTTTGACATTAACTATATTTTCGGGACAAAAATGATAATCTTCGCAATCCACTGAAAACGCAATTTCCGTTATAAAACTATTTGCCTTTTCCGCTAAAAAACTCATCATAGAAATTGTGCTGCCATATATGTTGGAAGAGTGGATTTCAAAGAATATTCCTGCTAAGTATCATAAGAATATTCGTAAAAATGGTTATTCTATGTAATTTTAAAGGGATTGGTACTTATAAGTACTTTCGGTAGATAAAGGGTTAATCTCTTGATTTTAAAAAAATACAGGTTTTCTATTCCTAAAATGAAATATATTTCTCTTTTACGCGGATATTTTGATCTAATAATTTATGTACACTATTAAAATTTGTAGGTAAACAAACGTATGTACGTCTATCTTCTCACTAACCACACGACGCAGAAACTCACCAAAGGTACCAAAAGACTGGGAATGATCCGAGGAATCCGTTTTTACCATTTATATTCCGATATTCCAATTAGTTAAAAGGATATTAATTAAAAAATTTAAAACGCATAGTTAGTGCTATTTTTTCCAGCCAAGAGCAAAGTTCAAATTCTCCGACTTTTTTTTTCCAGACGTTTTTAAAACACGGACTAATTATTTTTATGAGAGTCAGCCAAAAAATAATTACAGAATCGGAAAGATAATTTACTTCGCCACGATACAGAATAATTTATTTTACAAAATAATCATATTTTCTATTTCTTACAATTTTTTCTAAAATGAGTCAAATTCGGTACGTTTTTATGAAAATGATTTCTAAATCGTTCCGCTTGCATTTTCTTTAGCGTTAATGAAATGATATTTTACACTAAAAAAGTTTATGCTTTTCTCTTTTAAAATCAGTCATTTAAAAAATTAAATATCAAAAACTTTATTTTTTACGATTTTTCAAAAAATACTCAAAATTTTATTTAAATACTTAATAACTTCTTTATTTATAAAAATAATATCACGAAACTTTATGTCCGTGGGTAGAATAATATTATACGTAATCTGTACAAAGATTGAAAAAATTGCTTAAAAATTACGGGTTTTTTTAAAAATTGGGTTTTCGTTTTTTTCCTTTTTGCGAGAAATATTTAAGCATTATTTTTATTAAATTTTTTGTTTAAAAATTACCGTTGTTTTCAATCGATATATGAAATTTGAAGGCATTAACTTAAAAATGAAGTCCCCCCAAAAATTAAAACTTTAACAAATAAAGCATTTTACAATAGGAATAACTCTTCTTTTTATTTTGAATGTCTTTTCATTTCTTTTTCCCGACGATTTCACGGCGCGATTGTTAAACGCACTTCATTACTTCATTTTGAAAAAGTATTAGAAGTGCTGATTTTGTGAAGGAAAAAAAATATATAAAAGTAGAGAAAGCCCGTGAAACGCCTGACCATGCAGCTAGTTATTATTTAATGGGTGTATAATTTAAATTATCGAGCTAAGCCAAATTTTTCAGTGTCCAGTTAACACGTTGCCTGAATTTAATTCACTGGACAATACAAGTTTTAATAGAAGGAAAATTAGAAATTTCATCATTACAGCTATTAACCTTTCAGTACAAAAAGTTCTTTTTTTCACAATCCGACAAATCAAGGGTAATGAATCCCTTCAAGAAATCTATCAACTTAAAACCCTCACATCCTGCCGCCGCCTCCATGGTCAATGAAATAAACGTTAAAATTAATATAATTAGCTAACTAACATTAAATGATCAGTAACCTACGAAAATAATGTTAAGAAAGGAATTTATTCAACATTAACTCGTGACTGTTGTCTCACAAGCTGGTTTTCCTTCATATCCATTAACAATTTACAACAGAATAACAACTGCTGACTACAGCTTAACAACCAATGTCAGCAGAAAATTATATAGAACAGAAACTAAATCGTATAATTTGTTCTTGACTTATTTTCCTCATCCGAGATTATAAATGGTTTCAGCATTCACATTGTTAAAATTTGTCTTTTTTTGCTCTTTTAGCATGAGCAGAAAGAATAAAAACCATAATATATCTGATTTTTC